TTTTTTTGGTGCTTGAATCCAAACAAAGCATTGGTGCTTGTACACAAGTATATCTTTTTGGTGTACATATATACATGTTATGATTTCATGGAGTTTTCAAAGTTAACTATTTTAATAATGAATTTATGTACATTATATTCGTCTATATGTGTACATTGGGTGACATGGATGTACACAATATTAGTGTACACATGTACATTGGAAAGGAAAAAAATTCATGTGTATGAATAAGGGCGAGTAAGCGTGTTATCCACAGTATTAGTGTACACATGTACATATGAAAGAGAGAAATTCATGGATAGGGTAAAGACAACTAAGCGTGGTTTAAGTGAATGAATAAGTTCTTATGTTTTTTAATGAGGGTTATTTTAGAAATGTGATACCATAAATGTTGATATTACATTTTTACATTCACCTATAATATGCACGTACATGTGTACTCTCATTGTTATTTACAAAATGTTACGGGTGTACACACATGTACAAAAGTATATATTTTTGATGTACACATATACATTTTAATTTTGACTTTTTGCTATTGGTGTACACACATGTACATAATTTATACTAGGATGACATGCTTTATGTTTTATCTAACACCTTCATGCTTTATCTAAAAAATACCCTAGTAGCAAGAAGCTTTCTAGGGTGTAACAAAAACTTGAAAAGTGACCCATAATGTAAAATACTCCTATATTTGTGTACATGTGTATAAATTGTGTACATGTGTGTACACCAATAACAAAAAGTCAAAATTAACATGAAGGATATCCTAACTGTGGACATGGTATGTATTCAATATAAATGTGTACAACTAAGTTTGTGGACACTGAAACAAGAAAAAACAAATTGATTATATGATTTCTATGTTTTTCTTACAAAATATATAAGTACATATGCATAAGCATGTACATGTATGTCTTTGTGAAATTAATCTTAACAAAAAATATTTAAATGAAAAAGATGAAAAACTGTGTACACATATTTTGTTGTCCACATGTACAATATTTTACCCAAAAAATTCCATGTACACTAAATTAAGTGTACATTGTATAACTAACTATATTCAATGTACATTGTATAACTAACTTTTGTTTTATGATTTCGTGGAGTTTTCAAAGTTAACTATTTTAACAATGAATTTATGTACATTATATTTTTCTATACGTGTACATTGGGTAACATGGATGTACACAATATTTGTGTACACATGTACATTGGAAAGGAAAAAAATTCATGTGTATGAATAAGGGCGAGTAAGCGTGTTGTCCACAGTATTAATGTACACATGTACATATGAAAGAGAGAAATTAATGGATAGGGTAAAGACAACTAAGCGTGGTTTAAGTGAATGAATAAGTTCTTATGTTTTTTAATGAGGGTTATTTTAAAAATGTGATACCATAAATGTTGATATTACATTTTTTACATTCACTTATAATATGCATGTACATGTGTACTCTCATTGTTATTTACAAAATTTTACTGGTGTACACACATGTACACAAGTATATATTTTTGGTGTACACATATACATGTTAATTTTGACTTTTTGTTATTAGTGTACATACAATCATACATGTACATAATTTATACTAGGGTGACATGCTTTATGCTTTATCTAACACCTTCATGCTTTATCTAAAAACTACCCTAGTAGCAAGAAAGTGCTCTAGGATGTAACAAAAACTTGAAAAATGACCCATTAGAGAAGAACACTAACTAACCAGGAAGAAGTGATTTACGAGAAAAGAGCTTATTTTTAGCGAAGCGTCGGTTCCAATCAAAGAGCTGGAAGAAAACGCCAACACAACCACTCAAACGATTCGGCCGTTTCCCAGTTATGGCCGCACACGGCGCCGTTTTATCCACCATCTCCTATAATTCTCCCGTCATTACCCCGAAACCCTAAACGACCGACATAAGCTTAGAGTGGTCGAAAAAACAGAGAAAAACAAATATTATTTTTTTAGAGACACATTGACTCAAATTCCATAAACTTAAGTCACCAGAGAAGAACAATCATTCTCCTAAGCTTTAAGTGAAACTTTGGAGCTCGTGAAGAAGAAAGAAGAATCTCTTTATAAAAGAAGAGAAGATGATAGCAATAACGATAGCTTAGTTTACAAAAATAGAGAAAGAAAAGAGACAGATGGAAATCAGCAAAATGGCAGTTGTACAGTGGAAAAAGAAAGAAAGAAAGAAAGAAAGACATTAAGATTTTTATTACAAGAAGAAAGTGAGGTTTAAAGAAGGAGATAAAAGATGTTTAGTCAAAAAATAGGACTCAACGGATAATATTCGCAGTTTGTGTGTTAAAAAAAGTGAAAGGAGACAAAAGCAAAGTGACAAAGTGACTGAGAGAGAGATGATGAGAGATTAATAAAAAGTTAATTTATTAGTTACAGATTGGTTTTGTTTGAATTAGAAAAAAAGAGTAAGTTAAAAAAAAGTGTCTGAGAAGAAAAGTGTCTTATAATGTTATTAAAACTTGAAAAGTGACCCGTATAATATTTTCCAAGCTCTGCATACCTGATGATATAGGTGGTGGTAATACGACAAGAAGTTTGAAGGTCTCATCTAGGTCACGACTTCGAACAGCTTCCACAAATATCGTTACTCAAGCTCACAAAATCACAAGGGACAAAATAACAACTTGGATTCACGCCCCAGCTCATGCTTAGCCAAACTTTTAATTTTATCTTTTTACTGAAAATAATAAATTATATTTTAATTATATATAATTATATTTTAAATATGAAACTTGTTATTTTATAACAATTTAATTGTATTTTTATAATGTAAATTTAATTTTTGAATATAAATATTTGATATTATCATAGATAGTTGGCTAATTTCATCAATATAATATATATATATATATATATTCTAAAGATCTCCTATTCTTGATAAATAAAAAAAGAGCTCCTAGTCTAAATGCTAATCCGCTATCAAAAGTTTAATATGAAAACATTGGGTAAAGAACATTTGAAGATTATTTGCATCTTCTAAATATTGTTATATTTTGTTTCTTAATAATTGTTAATTTAAAGAGCATAATGTTTATATTTATACTCTGCATATTAAGGTCTAAGAATTCAAACATTAAATCATTATTGAGTATTTTGCAAGTTAAATTCTCAAAACAAATTTGAATATAATTAAAATTTAATTATTACTACTATTTTAAAGCTTCTAAAATTTTTGTTAGGGCTGGGCAATCGGGGTCCCAATCGGGTTTCGGTTCGGGTTCATTCGGGTTTCGGGTTTTCGGGTTCATGAATTTCAGCCCCATTCGGATATTATAAAAATTCGGGTCGGATTCGGTTCGGGTTTAGTCGGGTTCGGTTCGGGTTTAGTAACATGTCCAAGGTTGAACCCGAAATAATTTCGGTTTCGGATACTAATCGGGTTATCGGTTCTTAAAATACTAATTTATACTCAATTAAACTCACTATATTTTCAATCATTTTATTAAATTTTTGTATTTAGCTTCTACAAACCATATTGTTCTCCTTCAAAATAATATTCTGAAACTCGTCTATCAACCAAATAAGATTTGTCATTGAATAATATGGTTTAACATCTACAAACCATATTGTTCTCCTTCAAAATAATATTGTCATGATTAATGACAAACCAAAACCTTGTATTAACGAAATATTATACATAATGAAACATAAAAAATTAAAGTTAACAACTAACAATTCTATAAACGTAAGAAGTACTATTTACACTTAAAAAAAAACAACATTATATAAACTTCAAAACAAATTTATTCGTAACTTAACTTCAAATGTAATGTCAATCATAAACATTAATAATAACCAAATAACACTATACATTAGACAAAATATTTGAGTTAATTATTTATATCATAACTAATTATTGTAGGTACTCAATAATATATTAATCTGTTTTGGAAAACATATTAGAAATTTACATTGGATATGATACAAGTTTTTTAGGAGTTTTAAAGTTTCGGATATCCATTTAAATTCGGGTTCGGTTCGGGTAATACCCATAACCCGAAATACCGTAAAACAAGATCCATTCGGTACTTATGTCGGGTTCGGATCAGTTTGGGTTCCTTTTTATCGGGCCAGATTTGGTTCGGATTTTCGGGTTTGGTTTTTTTGCTCAGTCCTAATTTTTGTATTAGCAAAAAACTTTGAAAACATGGTCGGTCGGTCGCAAGAATATTTTACAGCTTTTTCATCATTTTTCTATGGCCAATAAGTTTTAAACACAACACTAATATAGTAATATCCATATTTTTTTTTCTTTCAACGTTTTCTCGCATCTCTAGTCATTGCATGTACGTCTGTCCACACCAAACACAGTTGACATCATTCATAACAATGTGCGCATGCGTTACGTACAACATTTTTCCTTTGCTTTAATTGGTTAGATAACTTATGTGTGACTGAGAACTAAGAACGATATTCTTTTGTTTTCTTGTCTATAACCGAAATATTGAGTATCTCCATGCGATAAATACATTATCTAAACGATTCTACCTAGTTCAACATTTGTCTTTACTTTAGTTGGTTAGATTTTTTTTTGGTTAGATATGTGTGATTGGGAACTAAAAGAACGACATTCTTTTGTTTTCTTGTCTATAACCGAAAATATTGAATACTTCCATGTGATAAATACATTGCAATTTATAGCAAAACTATTCGCTCCCCAACCACTAACTATCTTCATCGGCCACCACTGATAAATACATTGTCTAAAGAATTGTACCCAACCACTCACTCAGGTTCTCTCTCTCCGCATGTGATAAATATATTATCTAAAGAATTGTACCCAACCACTCACCCGGGTTCTCTCTCTCTGCATGTGATAAATATATTATCTAAATAATTGTGCCTAACTCGTACCAAAGTGAAAGTGACAGTATAAAAATAAGCTATTTGCTACCCATCCACTACCTCTCCTCATCAGCATACTACTCTCAGTTGCTTCCTTCTCAAGAAGATTTGAATTAGTACAAGATGGTCCTTGAGGTGGAAGCTAAAGGCGGAAATGGAGGGAAAGAATGGGATGATGGATTCGAAAAGTTCTTCTCTTTTTTTTTTAAGAACGGCTCAGAGTTCGCCCTAGCCGCTTTGCTCCCAGACGCTAATATCGAGGAAGGTTTTAGAAGCCATCTTTCCAGCGCCGGTGAAGGCGTATATCGCCGGCGCTGGGATATTCCGACAGCTCTTGCTCTCCTCTATTTAGATATTTTCATGTCACTCATTTTTATCGGTCCTCTACCGATTCAGAAGTTGCTAGGCCACAGCGAAAAGAAGCATCACCACTCTCCTTTGAGCTCTATCAGTTCTGACTTTAGCTCCGTGAGTCCCCGGAAATCTGGTCTAAGATTCACCTCTCCTAGGTTGTTTTCCAGATCTGCGGTTTGTTCGCCGCGTAAAGATTCAACGGTGGTATCTATGTGTAAAGACAGCGTCCGACAGCCTCTTCTCCTCCCACCGCAACCGCACCTTACATCAGCAAATCCCGACGATTTGGCAACTAGGAAGCGTGGACCTCCACTCTCATCCCATCGACCAGATCCTGTTTCACGGCGGATGATGAACTCGTGTCTTTTGTTACAAGCCGTCGTCACCTCGTTAGCTCCATCTCTTGCCGGCCTAGTCTCCACATCTGATGATGTCGCCTCCAGAAAATGTTTCGTCCCCTCCCCCTCAAGCCTCGTCGAGTCTCTTTGGGCCTCCGGTGAGCACATCCGGTCGCCGGGGAGTGCTCCGTCTCCTTCACCAGGCGGCCTCCGTGGTCTCTGCTCCTCATCAGACCTAATCTCACTAGCTTGGGTTTCCTCAAACACTTGGGCCTGGGCGTTCTTTGATATATTGGGCTTTAGCCCTTCTTTTCTAGTCAAGTGTTTTCAGGCCTTACGAGATCTAACGTTTCACCACTACGGCTCCCTCCAACGAATCCCTCCGTCTTCTACATCCATACTGTACTTATCATTATCAAATGCATTTATGGAATCGGAGATGAAGAAAGCATCAACCGTCTCACCATCCCGCTCACCGAACAACTTACTCTCCGGAACAACTGAGATTCACCTAGTCTCCCGGGTTATCATTGTCGGTGTTAGAGCTGTTCTCATTAGTCTAATGGATTGTTTAGCCAATCGTAGCTTCTCAATCGGGGCATCTCTGCCTCCCTCCAAACCCTTTCATTTGGGTGTGTCAACGTCGGTTTTCGACTATCGTTTGTTCTTTCGAACATCAGTTTTTGGGTTTCAAGTGAAGCGTTTCTTCGGGTCATTTCACCCCTTAAACACATCTATCTTTCCTTTTGTTGTAGTAGTCTTCGTTATTCAGCTTGCCGTTGAGATTACCTCCGGTTGTATTCTCTCAAGCCTTTTCGGCTTTTAGATTAATATAAGAGTTTGTTGTTCAAAAAAAGAAAAGAATGGGATGATGGATTCGATTATGAGGATGTAACAAAAATACATGTACGTGGTGGCCGTGAAGGCATTCAGTTCATCAAGTTTGAGTATGTCAAAGCTGGAAAAACTATTGCTGGACCAGTCCATGGTGTCTCGGATCACCGTGGTTTGACACAGACGGTATGAAAACATGTCTTGAAAAATGTTTTGACCAAACTGCCATCTCTTTAATCCCATTGTTCAAAAAGTCTGTAGGCTATATATGAGATTAATTATTTGTTTTGCAAAAAATTAAATATATATGAGATTAATGTTTAGATAGGTGTCTATGCGCCACCTAAACCAATTTATTTTAAAATTGTTTCATTTATGACTGATTTAAAGAGTTGAACGCTAGCTTAGAACACTGCTTAATCATTTATCATCATCACCACAAACAATCTTCTATTTATTTTATCACCTTTTATTATTATTTTTTTACGTAGCTCGAGATTAAGCATATGGAAAACGAACACTTGCTATCTGTTGAGGGTTACTACAATGAATCTACCGGAGTGATACAATCGCTTAAGTTTGAAACTAACATGAAGACTTCTGATCTCATGGGATACGACGAGGGTACTAAGTTTTCAATAAGAGTCATGGGCAAGAAAATTATTGGGTTTCATGGATTTGCTGAGAAGAATCTCAACTCTCTTGGCGCATATTGCATCAAGATACCATCAACCAAATCAGCAATGCAAGGTGGTCAAACTACAGGGAAAAGTTATGACGATGGCGGTGACTACGATGGTGTAAGAAAAGTGTATGTTACATCGGATGGCACTGCAATTAGGCATGTCAAGTTCGACTACGACAAAGCTGGCAATGAGGAAACTCGTGAGCGCGGGGAAAAGATCGGAACACAACATGAGGTTAAAACATTTTTTTTCAACTTGACATGTGGATGCTATTTAATATTTAGTTAGTTCTATGAACAAATTATTATCTACTATTGCAGTTTACGATCAATCATCCATATGAATATATCACATCCGTGGAAGGAAGCTACGGTGTTACACAACCTTACGGCTGTATATCGTCCTTACGTCATTGACATTCAAAACATCAAAAGGGAGAACCTCTTCAACGATTGGACCAGTGACTGGTACCAAGTTCGTGCTGGAGAGCAAAGGTGATGCTATTGTTGGTTTCCATGGACGGGTTGGTTCATGTGTTGATAGCATTGGTGCATATTACTCTCAAGTTCTTCCTTCTCAAGAAACAGGTACTCATGCTTCAATTGCTAATGCAAATGATATGGCCTATTGCATATAATGATCCAGAAAAGAATGAATAAAAAATTCTTTAAAATGATAGCGTTAAAGGTGGAAGCTAAAGGCGGAAAGGGAGGAGTTCAATGGGATGATGGATCAGATTACGAAGGTGTAACAAAGATACATGTACGTGGTGGTCTTGAAAGCATTCAGTTCATAAAGTTTGAGTACGTCAAGGGTGTACAAACTATTGCTGGGCCAGTGCATGGTGTCTCTGGTCGTGGGATGACACAAACGGTATGTAATTAACTCCTTTTTTTAGTATTCAGATGCTGGATCTGAATGCAAATATTCAAATGTTATTTTTTTTGGAAATTTTTGAAAATGCATCTAGATGATGTAAATGGATGCAAAGTTGTCAACTTCTAGAAAATCTAGATATTTGAAATCAGAAATGTGGAATTTGATTCAAAATCTATTGTAAAATCAAAAATCTCAAACATCCTTCAAATTAAATTCAAAATAACTAACTTATATTAACTATCCTAATTTTTTTAAATCGCAAATCGTGTTTTCTATACATATTTGAATTCAATTTATTTATCAACATGTTTTTTTGCATGCAGTTTGACATTAACCATTTGGAAAATGAATATTTGAGATCTGTTGAGGGTTACTACGACGTATCAACGGGTGTAATTCAGACCCTTAAATTCAACACCAACAAGAAGACTTCTGATCTCATGGGGTTCAACGAGGGTACTAAGTTTTCACTCGCAGTCAATGGAAAGAAAATCATTGGGTTTCATGGGTTTGCTGAGAAGAATCTCAACTCTCTTGGAGCATATTTCATCAGGATTCCATCGACTAAATCAGCAATGCAAGGTGGTCAAACTACAGGCAGAAGTTATGACGACGGCGGTGACTTCGATGGTGTAAAAAAAATATATGTTACATTCGATGGCACTGCAATTAGGCATATAAAGTTCGACTATGACAAAGCTGATCAAGTGGAGACGCGTGAGCGAGGGGCCAAGGAAGGAACAAAATATGAGGTTCTCCTAATTCCTTTCTAACCAATATTCACTCAATGAGTTCAAGATGTTGTGATATTAGAAATTAGTATTTAATAATTTATCATCACCACTGAGTTTTCATGCGTCATGTGCAGAAATAATAATCTATATATAATAGCAATCTGAAAGTGACATCAGCAAATTATTATAAGAAAATAAAAATTTAATCCAATGGTCATAATTAATTTGAATTTAAAATCTAATGGACGTAAAGAAACCTTTTCATATGATTGATGATGTCATCAAATATTTGGCAACTTTTCATTGAAAAGACATATATTTCCCTTGAATAACCACCATCTTATTTCTCATACCCTTTCATAAGCTTTTAATATTAATATTGACTTTTTAGAAGATAATATTTGTATGTGTTGTGACCGAAGAGGTATGAACGTATCGTGATTTAAGAGGTACGAACATGTCGTGACCCAAGAGGTACAAATGTGTCGTGACCCAAGAGGTACAAATGTGTCATGAACCAAGAGGTACGAACGTGCCGTGACCCAAGAGGTGCGAACCCAAGAGGTACAAATGTGTCATGAACCAAGAGGTACGAACGTGCCGTGACCCAAGAGGTGCGAACGTGTCGAAACCGAAATGGTGCGAATGTGACAGGACCGAAAGGGTGCGAATGTATCGGGACCGAAAGAGTGCGAACGTGTCGGTACCGAAAGGGTGCGAACGTGTCAGTACCGAAAGGGTGCGAACGTGACGGGACTGAAAGGGTGCGAACGTGTCGGGACCGAAAGGGTGCGAACGTATCGGTTCCGAAAGGGTGTGAACATATTGGTACCGAAAGGTTGCGAACGTGTCAGGACCGAAAGGGTGCGAACGGTTCGGGACCGAAAGGGTGCGAACGGTTCGGGACCGAAAGGGTGCGAACGGTTCGGGACCGAAAGGGTGCGAACGGTTCGGGACCGAAAGGGTGCAAACGGTTCGGGACCGAAAGGGTGCGAACGGATCGGGAACGAAAGGGTGCGAACGGTTCGGGATCGAAAGGGTGCGAACGGATCGGGACCGAAAGGGTGCGAACGGTTCGGGACCAAAAGGGTGCGAACGGTTCGGGACCGAAATGATGCGAACGGTTCGGGACCGAAAGGGTGCGAACGGCTCGGGACCGAAAGGGTGCGAACGGTTCGGGACCGAAAGGGTGCCGGCACCGAAAGGGTGCGAACGGTTCGGCACCGAAAGGGTGCGAACGGTTCGGCACCGAAAGGGTGCGAACGGTTCGGCACCGAAAGGGTGCGAACGGTTCGGCACCGAAAGAGTGCGAGTGGTTCGGGATCGAAAATGTGTGAATGTAACGTCACCGAAAGGGTGCAAATGGAACATCACCGAAAGGGTGCGAATGTAACATCACCAAAATGGTGAGAATGTAACGTCATCAAAAATGTGTGAATATAACATCACTGAAAGGGTGCGAACATAATGTTACCAAAAGTGAACGAACATAATATTATTGATACTTATGGATGCAAGTCATTAGAGTTAAGGCCGAGCTATCATGAGTGGTAAACATACTGTTCATGGTCGAGTGCTATGGACTATGATCCATGATATGGATCGATGGCTCAAAAAGAAGTGTATATGAAACAGCCTTAAAGTTCTATTGTACCTTGTAATAAGTATAAAAATATATACATTCATATGTATGGTAATGAAAGCACATAGACACTAACATCAATTCTTTTCTTTTTTTGAAAAATGGAAAGGCATGACTCCTGATGGTAAATACTACACACCTATAGAAATGAATATACAATCCAAGGTGTATCGTGTTAAACAAATTATGAAACTACTTTATAAAGTTTGTATGCCAAATTTAAATGCAAACCATTTTTAAAATTAAATATAAAAATAATCAGAGAAGGTTAATTATTTATTTGTTTCCTTAAAAGACACTTTTAAGGGTATATAACAAATCATAAAATATATTTTTCAAAAATACTCCACATTTAATTTTATTTGGCATTCGCAACTTTTCACATTAATTGAGATTTTTATTAAGATACACAACTTTTTATTTTATTTGGCATCACAATCTTTAGAATTAATTGAGATTTTTGTTAAGATACACAGCCTTTCATTTTATTTATTAAGAAACACAATTTTTCCTTCTTTTTTTTAAAGAGACACAACTTTCCATTTTATTTTGCATTTACAATATTTCACATTAATAGGTGTTTTTATTAAGAATTACAACTTTTCATGTTATTTGGCATTCACAACCTCTCGAACTAATTGAGATTTTTATTAAGATACACAATTTTAGAATTAATTGGTATTTTTATTCAGACACACAATCTTTCATTTTATTTATTAAGAGACACATGTTTTCATTTTATTTTATTAAGAGACACAACCTTTCATTTTATTTATTAAGAGAAATAACTTTCATTTTATTTTACCTTTACAACATTTCAAATTAATTGATATTTTTATTAAGAGTCACAACATTTCATCTTGATTGAAATTCACAACTTTTAGAATTAATTGAGATTTTTTATTAAGATACACAATTTTTATTTTATTTGACATTCACAACCTTTAGAATTAGTTGAGATTTTTATTAAGTGACAACCTCTCATTTTATTTATTAAGAGACACAATCTTTCAGTTATTTCTTTAAAGAGGCACAACTTTTCATTTTATTTTGTATTTTCAACCTTTCACACTAATAGACATTTTATTAAGAGTCTCAATTTTTTTTTTTTTTTGGCATTCACAGACTTTTAAATTAATCAAGATTGTTATAATTAGTAGATTTTTATTATGAGAAGATACAACTCTTATAACTATTTTAAATATTTTTAAATTATTTTTTCTGAGACACAATTGTTTTTATAATGAAAAGATGCAACTTTTAAACTAGTATATTTTATTTTTTATGAAGAGATATAACCTTTCAAAAATTGTTATTATGAGAAGACACAATTCTTACAACCTCTTTTAAATACTCTTAAACTATTTTTTATGAGACACAAACTTTTTTTATAATGAAAAAGATGCAATTTTAAAAATAATAGAAATTATTTTATAAAAAAACACAATTCTATTTATAACAAAAAGATGCAACTTTTAAACTTATATATTTTAGTTCTTATGAAAACATACACAATCTTTAAAACTAAGATATTTCAGTTCTTTAAATAGACACAACTTTTCATTTTATTTTGTATTTTCAACCTTTCACACTTATAGACATTTTTATAAAGAGTCTCAATTTTCTTTTTATTCGGCATTCACAGCCTTTGAAATTAATCAAGATTGTTTAATTAGTAGATTTTTATTATGAGAATACGCAACTCTTATAACTATTTTAAATATTTTTAAATTATTTTTTTCTGAGACACAATTGTTTTTATAATGAAAAGATGCAAATTTTAAACTAATATATTTCAGTTCTTATGAAAAGATACAAGCTTTCAACAATTGTTTTGTTTTTCATATAATGGTCCAAATAAAAATTTTATGCAACTTTTAAAATAATAGATTTTTTTTTTTAAATACAAAATTATTTTTATAATGAAAAGATGCAATGTTTAAACTAATATATTTAAGTTTTTTTTTATGAAAAGATACAACCTTTCAACAATTGTTATTTTGAGAAGACACAATTCTTATACTCTCTTTTAAATACTTTTAAACTATTATATCTGAAACATAAACTTTGTTTAGTAATGAAAAGATGCAACTTTTAAACTAATATAATTCGGTTCTTATGAAAAGATACAACCTTTCAACATTTTTTTTTTTGAAATACACAATTATTTTTATAATGAAAGATGCAACTTTTAAACTAATATATTTCAGTTTATTATGAAAAGATACAATTTTTCAACCATTGTTTTGTTTTTTCATGCAATTGTCCTAAGAAATGTTTTTTAGACATACGATATTTATGGCATTAACATATATTCTTTTCAAACAACACATCTTTTTACATGAAAGAGTCATACTTTTTCATATTTGAAGGATTACAGTCTTTGGTTATAATTGGTTTTTTTCTTTTATTGGTATTAATAATTTTTTTATACTTAAACTAAAATTGCTATGAGCAGTTTTTTTTTCAAACAACACATCTCTTTAATTTGAAGAGTCATACTTTTCCCTAATTCTTGATTTTTAAAATTTTTTTTGAAGAGTTTCAGTCTCGTGGTTGTAATTATTATGGTTCTATCTAATGGTCCTGAAAATGTATTTGGTTGAACTTTTTTTTTCCTCGCAACTCTTGAAAATATTCATTTTAAAACAAAACACAACTCTTGATAATCTCTCAATGTACCTTTTCAGATTACTAAAAATAGAACGTTTTACAGATGCAGTTTTTAAGAAAATTTATGTGTTTTTTTTTCTTTCTAATATAGGTATGATTCTTAGTACTCTTGAATATAATGTTTGATTCATTATATAGTTTTAAACGATCTTTAAAAATTTAATGTGGTGTCTGCAAAAATAAATTAATAGATTTAGTTTCAGTGAAACTAAACTACCATATCCAAACCAATCTGGTTGTAAGAAAACAACCTAAATTTTTTTTTGTGTAATCTCTTATTCTACTTCTAATAAAGTCCATTTTTTTTTGTATTTCTAACCCAGTTTGTATGGAGGTACTAAGCCTCATAAATTTAAAAATGTCGTTCTTTGCATGATAATTACAGTGTTTTAAAACATATTATATTATTTAATTAAAATATTTAAACTGTTCCATCATTTCAACAAATTTAAAAAGTTTGTCTTCTCATATATAAAAAGATAAAAGAAAATGACTGCGACTTTAATATTAAAGTTTACTTAATATTGTTATGCTAAACACATAACATTTAAATTTATACATTTTCAAACGCAAATTATATTTTCACTCTTCTATTAAATAAGATTATTTTTAAGTATTGATCTTCGTACAAAATAATTAGTTTATTAAATGATTCAAAATGATTGAATAACAAATATAAATTATAGAAAAATTAATTTTAAAAAAAAACATCTTTTCTCCCGCGCGTTTACGCGCGAGGTGGTTTCCTAGTTTTAAATAATATTATTTACCTTTTTTTAAAAAATTATATTGTGACATTATTATTTTAATATTTTAACTTCACAGATTTTGGAAAAAATAAAATTTTAAATTGTTTTAGAAAATTTATTTCTTTTGATTTGGTTTTAACTATTTCAATTTTATTTTATTAAAAATGTCAATAGAGTTTAAATTATATTTATAAAATAATTGTTATTTATATTATATTTAATGATTATTTATTTCAAGTATGTCTTTCACCCCTAATTTTAAGTATGTATATACTTAAATATATAAATTTTAATTAGTTTTAAATCTTTTTGTTTTGTTAAAATATGCTAAGATGGAAAAAAAAATATTTAATTAACTTAATGTTTATATATGATTTATTAAGTATTAATATATTTCAAAGGATATACCAATATAAATATTTACATAAAGTTTATTTTATAATGATAGTATAAAAGTTATTAGCCAATACCATATTTAGAAACACTTCCAAAAAATATAAAGTTTTATAAGGAATTTTACATGTCACATTAAGTTGATGTCATGTTATCCTTTTCCTAAAGTCATGCTATCTTTTATTGGTGAGAATGAATGTGGTGATGACATATGTCCAAATCAGTTCTCAAATAATGTTTATGGGATAGACTAATGAAATTTTAATGATCCTAGGTTGGAAAAATTTAAAATATGATAATAATAAATAAAAAAAAGTATGGAAATTTTTTTGTAAATTTATGAGTCTATTAAAATCATAAGTTTGTAAATCCTTACAATTTTGATATTATTAATTTATAAAAAAATACTTTATTATGATTACTTGCAGTTTGCGGTTGATCATCCACGTGAATATATCACATCAGTTGAGGGAAGCTACGCTGTTAGAGCATGTGCAACGGTTATCTTAACCGAATCCTTAAGGCATAATCCTTAAGGGAAATGAATATTATAATAATAAAAGAGGGGAAATCAGTAAGGAAGAATCCGTAGTTAAGGATTTTTTTGGGCTGGTCCTTGCTGACGTGGACGCGGAGGATGAGAAGGGTTTCGCGTGATCCTTTCCCGAAAAATTCATTTCCTCGCAACCTAAAAAAAAAAAACTTCTCTGGGTGACTCTTGGCGACTTGGCGATTGTGTCGACTAGGTTCAATCGAAGAGTAAAGAAGGTAATCGAAGAGTTCTCTTGTTGTTTTATGTATTCAGATGGTGTTGCATGTTATTTTACTCACAATTTTGGGTTCCGAATCGGTTTCTCGATTGATTTTGATCTTTTCGTTTGAAGTTTTTGGGTGAAATCGAGAAGGGTTTGAATCGGTTTGGGGCTATTGGCATATGTTGTTAGGGTTTGAATCGATTTGGTTTGATATCGAGAAGGGTTTCAATCGAGAAGGGCTATTGGCGTATGTTTGTTAGGGTTTGAATCGAGAAGGGTTTCAATCGGTTAGGGTTTGATATCGATTTCTGTTTCAATCGATATAGGGATTGGGTTTGAATCGATTTGGGGATTTTTGGGGTTGTTAAGTGTTTTCAAAACGCTATATCGATTCAATCAATTAGGGTTATACACTGGAGTTTAACGAGCTCATTTTGTAAGAGTGGCATTGATTTTGTGATTGCTATTATTAAGAGTAGCATTGATTCTGTGTTTAACGAGCTCATTTAGTATTGATGATTAACTACTTGATGCGTATTGTAATAAGAGTGTGATTAACGACTGTGTTGCTGCTTTTCAGGTTACGGAAACATGGGAAGATACAGTTACAGCCAACCTTCTTCATCAGATGGGTGTGATGATATACAAACAAGGCTTCTTGAAGAAGAAGCTGCCCTCTACGCGGAAGAAGCTGCCCTTTACGCGGAAGAAGCTGCTCGATGCCACACCATAGCAGACCCCGTTCAGTACCATTCCCAACCCGAGGGTGATGAAGGAATCCCAAATAGCTGGTGGGATGTGGCGGTAATGGAGGAGGTCAGTGAGTGCCAGCGAGAAGTTAGGGAGCTTAAGGAACAAGCTAACAAGACTCAGCAGAAGCTGGAAAACCTTGAGAAGACAGTCAGGTGGGTTGCTCGTGCGATGGTTGGTGTGATAGTTTTAATATGTATGGTGGTGATGATCAAGCGGGTTAGTTTCTTTCCATCTTCTTATCATATATTTTGTCATCTGTTTTTAAGACTGATGACTCCTTTTTGTCTTGTGTCTCCAGGAAGAGCATCAGCTGAAAATGCGCGTGTCTGGCCGTTAGAAGGTAATATACAAACAACTTCCTACTCTCATTCATTTGAATAAATAAAAACATAGAGTAGTTGCATGTATAAACTCGGGAGTAACTAAAATGAATAAACTTTATATAAAACTTAAACCTGTTTTTCTAAATTTATAAAACCTAAAACTGTATATATATAAAACTACTTTATAAAATAAAACATTCATATGTTTTGAACTTTATGTAAAACTAATTAAACAAACTGTAACTAAACAAGTCAGTGCTTTCTAGTTAACAAACAAACTGTAAAAGTAAATGCTAGTTAACATTAAATTACTTTCTACCTTCCTAAATTCCTAACTCCCTTGACGTGATAGGTTTTTAAATTTCTTCAATGCTTTCTACCCTCCTAACCCCTCCGACTTGACTGGTTTAAATGTACCGGAGGTAGAAATCGCCTACTTAATAAGGCTCTGTGAAGCTACTAGAGCGACACAGAGCATCCTAAAACCATGGATAATAACGAGGGGTTTGTTAATCTTCTAAATAACCAATCTCCTTTTGACCTTCATTCACCCGAAAATGCTTGGTTTAATACCCAATCTCCGGAGTCGTCTTCAGTGAAAGAGAGGAGGAAATGGACTCCGACAGAGGATAGGATCCTTATTGGTGCTTGGCTTAACACCAGTAAGGACCCGGTGATCGGTAACCAGCAGAAAGCAGTTGCTTTCTGGAAGAGAATTCTAGACTGCTATAACTCAAGCCCTCACCTCGCCGGGACTGCACCTAGAGAGCTTGGTCAGATCAAGCAGAGGTGGGCTAGAATTAACGAGGTTGTCGGGAAGTTTGTTGCTTGCTATGACACGGCACTGAGGAAGCAAGGAAGTGGTGAAAATGATGATACCTTGATGACAACTGCCCTTGACATATTCTTCACTGACTACCGAGTCAAGTTCAACCTAGAACATGCATGGAGGGAGCTGAGACACGAGAAGAAATGGTGCTCCACCATTGTTGCTAAGGACAGTGCCAAGGAAAAGCGGAAACAGGTGATAGATGTTGATGTAGAAGCCGAGGGGAGACCTATTGGTGTCAAGGCTGCTAAAGCTGCTGCCAAGAGGAAGAAGAGTCCTCGTGAAGAGGAGCTGTCTAAGCTTCAGGCCATTTACGAAATGAAAGAGACAATCTCAAAACAGAAGCTGCTTGAGCGGTTACTTGCAAAAAAAGAACCATTAACTGAGATAGAAACAGCTCTTAAACTTAAGCTTATGACTCAAATGATATGATGTTTATGTTTAGTTTAAGGTAAATGAGTTATATATATAAGTAGCATGTTTAGTTTAGTCATATATGATTCGGTGGTAATAATGTATTGATAACTTGTCGTCTTGTTTGTTGTTGCAGGGTTTAGGTCACGGATGGAGTTCTGTAGCTGTTGTTGTCTTCTAGTAGTCACGGATGGAGGTGTGTAGCTGTTGTTGTCTTTTGGCTGTCACGGATGGACGCATGGGAAAGTGTTCACGGGGTCTTCTATTTCAGTTTGCTTATTTAAGTGAAGTGTTGTTTTAGTTGTTTTACCTACACATCTCCTTATCTTTTTCCCCTCTGAACTTGTATGTTTCTTATTCTCGGCGTGTTTGTAACTCTGGACGTGTACTCTGTTTGTGTAATCAAGTTGCTTCACTTTCTAAGCTTAATTTGTCAGGTAACTTTTGCTTATTCAGGTTGTCTACTATATCTGTTTTGATTAGAAGTTATGCCATCTCGATGATAGTCGAAAGCTATTCAACCCGTTTTGAATCCTGTAAATGAATGAAATGAATTAGTAGTCCAGTTTAGTAGTTATACAAGTTGTTAAGTTAGAATCATGTAAATGAATGAAATTATTTATGGAAAACTGATCACACGTAGTATCTAACCAATGCTTGAATCATTTTTGTGTCAACCACATTTGCATCATTTTCATTCGTAAAAAGACAGAAAAATATACATATATATATATATAAAGACAGAATATATATATTTATATACACATGTTAGAAAAATAAAGCCAATCACAGTTATTATATTCTAGTTTCTAAAAATATTAATGTCACCAGTCTCCTAATATTTTGAAGGGAATACCACAAGATGTCATCATCTTCATCCGACGAAATTGAAGAAAGATTGGACGAACTATGCGATGATATATTGGAAGAAACGTGCGACGACATTTTGGAGGCCCCACCCAAAAAGCCGAGCAGACGTTCTTATATAGAACGAGACCGGGAAACGGGACACGACCGTCTATGGCAAGACTACTTCAGTGAAGAACCGACATTTCCGCCCCATTTATTCAGACGCCGTTTCCGTATGAACAAGGACTTATTCATGCGTATTGTGTATGCCCTCTCAGAAGCCTTCCCATTTTTTCGACAAAGAAGAGATGCAACCGGGAGACATGGTCTTTCTCCAATACAAAAATGTACGGCAGCAATTCGTATGCTTGCTTACGGTTCTGCGGCTGACGCGGTTGATGAATATCTGCGCCTCGGTGAATCCACGGCAACTTCGTGTCTACAACATTTCAATGAAGGAATAATCCAGTTATTTGGCGAAGAGTATCTGCGAAGACCTACGCAAGAGGATCTTCAACGACTACTCGATATTGGAGAGGTACGAGGATTTCCTGGAATGGTAGGAAGCATTGACTGCATGCATTGGAAGTGGAAAAATTGTCCTACCGCTTGGAGAGGACAATACACCCGTGCATCAGGAAAACCGTCAATTGTTTTAGAGGCAGTTGCGTCCCATGATCTTTGGATATGGCACGCTTTTTTCGGTCTTCCAGGTACGTTAAACGATATTAATATCCTCGAACGGTCTCCTGTTTTTGATGACATTATGCAAGGTCGAGCTCCTACTGTAGAGTACATGGTCAATGGACACATGTATAATTTGGCGTACTACCTCACAGACGGTATCTATCCAAAGTGGTCAACATTTATCCAATCTATATCACTCCCACAAGATCCTAAAGCGGAGTTATTTGCTAAAGTTCAAGAATCAACCCGAAAAGATGTGGAGCGAGCATTTGGAGTTTTGCAAGCTCGATTTGCAATAGTGAAAAACCCCGCTCTTTCATGGGACAAAGAAAAGTTAGGGAAAACTATGAGAACTTGTATCATACTACACAACATGATAGTCGAAAATGAACGAGATAGATACACTCAGTATGACACTTCTGATTTCGAAGAAGGAGGTGTTACCAGAAGTTCAAGGGTGGACACGTCTTATAATACGTACATGCCTCCAAATCTCGAGCAAATGCGTGGCATTCGGATTCATGTTCGCGATCGGCGTATACATGAACAATTGAAGAAAGATTTAATTGAAACTATTTGGAGCAAATTTGGTGTTCAAGAATAATATGTATTGTATCTTTAATATTAAATCTTTCAATCAATAAAATTTTTATTTTCACTTTTTAAAAAAAATTAATATTTTTTTATTCCTAAGGATTCCATAGAGAATAACACCATTGGACATAAGTTTTTGCTTAGAGTCCTAAACCCCCAAAAAAAAAAAAAAAAAAAAAAAAAATTAGTTTTTTAAGGTTAAGGATTCATGGGGCAGTGCCACCATTGTGGATGCTCTTACTCAGCCTTATGGATGTATAGTCCTTAGGTCGTTAACTTTCAAAACATCAAAAGGGAGAACCTCTCCCACGGTTGGAACAGTGGTTGGTACCAAGTTCGTGCATGAGAGCAAGGGCAATGTTATTGTTGGGTTCCATGGACGGGTAGGTTCTTGTATTGATAGCATTGGGGTGTATTACTCTCCTTTGTCTCCTCTTACTCTTCCTTCAGAGAAACTCCAAGGGCACGGTGGTGACGGAGGAGATTCTTGGGACGATGGTGTTTTCAAAAACGTGAAGAAGATATACATAGGGCAAGGAGATGTTGGTATTGCCTCTCTCAAGTTTGAGTATGATCAGAATGAAACTGGTGAAGTGATTGTGGGTGAAGAACATGGAAAGAAAACGTTGCTTGATTATGAGGAGGTGGTTCACTTTCACTCATATATAACAATTCTTTTTATTTAACAATTATCGGCTTAAAAATAGACTAACCATGTTCTTCTACTACTTCACAGTTTGAGCTGGATTACCCGAGTGAGTACATTACATGCGTAGAAGGTTGCTACGATAAGGTAGTTGGAGCTGAAAGCGGAGTTTTAACAATGCTTAGGTTCAAGACCAATAAGCGCACCTCTCCACCATTCGGACTCGAATCTTCTTACAGCTTTGTCATCCAGAAGGAAGGTCACAAGATCACCGGGTTCCACGGAAAATCCGGTGACCTGATTGATCAGATTGGGGTCCATGTTACTCCCATCGCCGAGTGACCAACCATTTGAAGCTACCGAACGAACGACCCTCATGCTTCCATTAATCTGTATTACTCTGCTATGTAATGTATGTTGTTGTGTTTGGCTTGTTTTTCAATTATGCATGTAATAAGAAAACGTCTTTGTCTCGATGTCTACATTTCTTCAAAGTTGACTTCAGTTCATATTTAGCAGAGCCATCCTTAGTCTTCACTGATGAAAACAATCATGCTATTGGTTAAGATAGAAAAAAAATCCGTAAAGAAAGTAAAAGCTAGTATCTCTATGAAAATGGTTATTATCAGTTTTCCTTGTCACCAACTTTGTAAACTCTAAGCAAGATCGTCCGTAATCATCAATCTGGCATCAACAAATTTAATGATGGTGTTTGATGGTACTTTTACACTCTCTGAATGGTATACACTTATGCTACATTTCAAGATAATATTTCATGCAGGCCAGGTCAGTTCTTAAATTATGTATTACGAACCTAAATCATTCAATATCAAAATAGTCAAAAATTAGAGATGGACAAGATATCCGATTCACTTCAATCTGATTAGATAAAATATTTGAAGTTTTTAGTTCTTGATTCAATCAATACAATTAGAACGTGAAATCTTTTTATTCTTTGAGATGCCATTGATTTGTTTTCAGTATTACATCTTCTGCCTCTATCATTTAATTTTAGTACCAATATTATTTATTTGAATTCAGCAAACAGATATCCCCTAACAAGACTAAACAACATTCATTTAGTTAAATGCATACACAAAACTCATGATATTAGGCCACAGCTTTAATTAAGGGAAATTGGATTCTGTATATAGGAAAAAACTTATAATTAAGTATCCAGTTTAAAAAAAAAGTTGGCCATGAAAGATGTTTGATTGTGAATTAGGAGTTTATAAAAAAAAAATACTTTACAAGACATGCATATCAACTGGAATTTTTATTAAATAATATGAATAGACATGTTGTAGTTGCTCAGACTATACGGTAGCATAGTTGGAAAATTATATTGTATATGAAAATTCTACAGTTTTACACAGGGCCGACTAAACTATTTCACATACGTCAAGTTTCGGTGGAATCAATAGTATCAATCATTATAAACAATAAAAAGAACTTGTGAATGGTAACTTGGATCTTATAAAGATAGTTTAAAAAGAAACAACAAGATTGTCAAGCTATTAAAAACAATCGGAATACTTCTCATCAGAACATCACCGGAGAAGCACAGAAAAGAGGAGAAAAAGATAAAGTAGAAAAGAAGAAAGGCGTAGCCTTTGCCTCTGATGACTTGCCGTTTTATCATTTCCCTGTTAACAAAACAAAGAAAGATAACGGAACCGAGTTAACTTCGGTTAACCGTAGCTCGAAAGCTTCTTAACGGCGTCTTCATTTTCCGTTTCTTCATCCATATCTTTTTCTCTTGCTTTGGTTGGTGACAAGACGAGATAAAATGTTTAGTGTTCCTTTTATTCTTTTTCCTACATCTATCTTCAACCCATTTATAATGCCTCATCTGGTCCCATGTCCTCCTTGGATATATATAAATATATTTTTAATATTAATAATATATAATCTGTATAATTACTTAATCATAATATCTTTTAATATCTTTTCATTTTAAATATAAATATATATATTTCAAATTTCTAGCATATTTGTTGAAAAATATTTTTAAAAGATCTCAATTTTAAAAATCTTTATCTATATATTTTCACTAATTTTCTAATTAATAATAAAATATTATTATACATTAATATATATTCAGTTATTATTTTTGAAATAAAAAATAAAACTTTTATCATATTTTATTTATTTTATAATAATAATCTATCATATTAAAATAATTGTTATTAAATAGGATAAAAGTATACTAAGTTGATAAATCAATATATTTATACAAAATATGTTCTTTCATGCATATATTGATCTAATTAATAGAAAATGTAATTTTATCAAGATAAATATATAATAAGAAAAGACAAATACATGTGACGGTTTAAAAGAATTGATAAATTACATCAAGTAAAATTATTATATTTGAAATAATTACAAATCTTTAAACATATGTCTAACATTAAATATATATATTTATAACAAATATATGTAAAATATATAAAAACAATTAAACACTATTGCGGGATTAAAATCTAGTCATAATTAATTTATTAGTTGTTTTAAAATAAGTATTTGGTTTGCTCAATTTTATTTAAACCCCAAGGAATCATTATGAAAGTTATACCCAATTTCAGTCAAAGATTAAAGAAACACTTCAATAATGTGCATGTTTACATTTAAAAGAAATCAAGTTTGCATTCCTGAATGGTGTAGAATTTTAAAGCGTGCCAGTCTATGCAATACGTACGCCACGGACTACAAAATAGTAGGGTTTTATAATATAAAGACTAAGTTTGTATATATATATAACAATAATCTTATCCTTGCAACGAAAATTAGCAAACGGATCATATAGTACAAATAAACAAAAGACCACATGCGCCGATGCGCGTAGTAGTGCGATATGATTGCTTTGCATCCCCTTTTTTTCAATCCCAAATGATAATTTAAAACGATGTTAAATGCTAGTTAGCTCTCAATTATAAATTAATGGAATGAAGAAATGTCGAAAACAGGTGCAGCATTATTTTTTTCTTTTCTGTTCCTTCGTTCAAAACTGTTTTCTTCTTCATTTTTCCCCTATAACTTTCAATGACAATCAAAAACAGCAGGTTTTTTTATTTATTTCCATGTCGTCATTCCCACTAAGAAAATAATAAATAATCTTTTATACAAATAAACCAATCCACTTAGAGAAAAAAACTTATAATCTTGTGGTCACACGAGGGCTACTTAGCACATCCGTTCATACACAACTAACATTGAGTTTTGTATCATTTTGTCAAAAGGTACTTAATTATTTTAGCTGCAACAATAGCAAACTAGGTGTTTTGTCCGCACTTGCAGGCATAATTCTCTTATGAATATTTATTAGTTGATGTTTCATTAATTTAAAAATTAGCATAGTAAGTTATTATTTATGTTTTCAAAAAGTAAAAATCAAACATCAAATAATTATCAATGACAAAGCTCAAACATCAAAAATATTTAAAATAATATATTTCTTTAACTATTTTTTATTTATATTTAATTATAATATTTATATCATAATTTTAAATTTTATATTAGAAAAGCATATTTTCAAGATAACAATATAATGCATAAGTTATTTATTTTCTGAAAATATAATATGATAATTTTTTAACTATATAATAATTCTATAAGATTATATAAATTATGACATATAATTAAAATTACCTAAATTATTGAGAACTTAATGAATCATCAAATTCACTTTTTAAATATTTTTTCTTGAATGATGATTTATATTTAATTAATAATAGATAATTTTTCTATTTCACTTTTAAATTATATAATATAAAGATATATTTTTAGGATAACAGAATAATACATAAGAATTACTATATTCTCCAAAAGTATAATATTATTAGTTTAAATTTATTTCAATTATAGAATAACTACAACTTTTTATATCTTAATTTTCAATTTCTAATAGAAAAATATATTTTCAAGACAGCAACTTAATACATAAGAAGTATTTTATTTTTAAGAATCTGATACTATTAATATAATTTTTTAAAAATATATAATAAATTATATATAAAAATTATATAAATTGATATATTATCAAAATTATCTAAAATCATGAAAAATATGACAAATCAACAAACATCAAATTCACTTCTTAAATAATATTATAGATTTTATGTTAATTTTAAATTTTATAATAGAAAAATATTTTTTTCAAGATAACATCATAATACATAAGAACTAACTTATTTTTGAAAATATCATATTATTAATATAAATTAGCTTTAATTATATAATCAATAATAAACAAAATTATAGAAATTCTGATAAATGATCAAAATTACCTAGGATCATGAAGACAAGTCAACAAATTCACTTTTCAAATAATTGTTTTGATGATTTATATTTAATTATGATTTATAATTAATTATTAATAATATATTTTTTTATATCTTAATTTTAAGTTTTATAATAAGAAAATATATTTTCAACATAACAACATAATCCATAATGATTATCTTATTTTAGAAAAATATTAAATTATTAATATAAATTTATTTTAATTATATTTAAATATTAAATTATTAATAGAAATTCATTTTAGATAAATATAATAGTGTTTATATCTTAATATAAAATTTAAGTTTATATATAAAAATATATTTCAATATAACAACGTAATTCACAAGAATTATCTTATTTACTAAAAATATGATATATTAATATAAATTCGTTTTTAGTAAATAATAAATTTTATATGAAATTATTTAAATAAGATAAAATTAAACAAATTTACCTAAAATCAAGGAGAAGTTGACAACTAAGCAAATTTACTTATTAAATAATAGTATAGATCATTGGAGGTATATTCGTAGAATTAGTTTTTTTTTTCTTGAACGCAATAGAATTAGTTATTTACTCTTTCATTTTACAAAGCTAAGATAATTAAAAAGTTGTCTGTATAGTGTATATGCCAGAAAATCGTAAAAAGATTTAGGTGCATTTTACCTAAAGTTTATGACTTTTGCAACAATTCTAGCGTGGCACATCACTGCTTACGAACGATAGGAATGAATCTGAATATGATTATATATATACAATTAACTAATGTGTAGTGTAGGCCTTTCTTTATACAAAATTTATTTGTGTTCTAAAAATTGGCCGTCTAATCGCTAGGCGACATTCTTCCACCCCGATTTATGTTAAATCGTTGTAGAAAATCGATCATCTAATTATAGTCTGCTTAGACCGCCTAAATGACCGCCTAGCCGCCTAATCTATTTTTAATAATATTTTTATCTATTCATTTGACATTAAAATATAATAAATGTAACTTATAATTATAATTTTGATGAAAATTATATCATATTAATTTTATATATTTTACTTGTGTGTTT